TTGGTATTCAGCAGATTACCGTAAGTCAATTTTATTTTACAATGTTCTTGAGAAGAATGAAAATATTGAATAAATGCATTTTTTAGAAATTTCATATCACTAATTTCGATGCTCAAATATTGGAAATTTCAGCGTATATCTGGAATTGCAAGAGATGATTTAGAATCAACAAAACATTTCTAAGAAATTTGTCCACTCATTTAAAATATATTTAATCTTTATCTTGTGTCTGCCTAATAGCTTCATTCCTTTACCATATGTCAGCATTGTAATTTATAAAATTAAATTCTGGTTCACTTACTTTTTTTCCTTATATTTTACACCCGAAAGCAACATTTTAATATGTAATATAATCCTTATACTTTTTCTAATTTTATTATTTAGAGATATTTTAACTGCGCTGAATTGAACTTGGATAATTTATAACAAATTTTATTTTATAAAATCTTAAAAAAAATTCTGCTTCCTATAAACTGATCATATTTAAATTTTAATTGTTTACAATTATTCTAAATTTATATTTATTATGATTAACTATATAACATTAATTTTAAAATTAAAATACTTTATTTTAGAATTAAAGTATTTGCCATAACGCTTAGAAGATAAATTAATACATTTTCATCGGCCATAAAGTTTTATTAGCTATATTGATCCCTCAAACAAGACATTAATGAGGACAGTTCGTAAGGTATGCATCCTCCAGTCTGTACGTAGGAGTCGCTTTCGCCTTCTGAGTATCTGAATAGTTTCTGACAATACTATTATTGTACTTCTGGAAACGTCTCGTTACTTTGTCACAAAGGACGCTCTGCTTTCATTGCTAGATACAGTTCTTTTGAAATGCCTTTTTTTTTTCGAATTCTATGGCTAGATCTTTATGTTACAAGGATCTTTGTTTCTCTTTGAATATCGTTTTACTCTGCTGTTATAGTTCTCATAGATAAGTAAAGAATATCACATGTTCTCGCTTGCTACTTTTCATTTCTTTGAAACTATTTTTGGAATGTGTGGGTTTTCTCAATTCACTAGACTACAAATATATATATATATATTAGAATCCATCTATTATTTTTTTAAGTGTGAACGTACCGTCTTGTTACCAACACAAATATGCTTTTATAACAATTTCACCGAACGTCACTGTTCAGACGTTGGCATTCTTGTTTCGTTTTCTCGAGGTCCCGGGTTCGAATTACCTTTCGGAGACCGAGTAACTTACTGTTTTTCTTCTCCATGTTTTTCCTCAGTCCCTACATGAAATTCAAATTCCTATAAATTTCATTGTCCACTTAACATTCTCTTTTGACGTTGAGTAGTCCAAGATTCGGACAGCGTAGTTAGAAAATATACACGTGTGTAGACATTTAATACTTTCCGTATTTATGGTGGAGAAGTTTGGTTTAATCTGGTATTGAGTGGTGAATTTGTACAGCTGTTTTCTCGTACCTCTACGCACGAGGAACATTTGTTTATTTATAATTTATGTAACGGAATTGTTAGCAGCTCGGACCGTGTAGTGTCGATTAATAAGCATTATTTTTCAGATGTGTTGTAGTTGTTCTAACATGTTGGTCCTGAGTTAAAACTATTCGGTTATTAATTTCATCTTTCGGTGTTTCATAACTAAATTATTGACAGACATTGTTTAATTTTGGTCAACAAATCGAGATGATATACATATTGTGAACACGTGAATTGCTTGCGAAATTATAACCAGAATTTATGAATGGAGGAGACCGCTTATATGTAATGATAATATTAAAATGGATCCTAAATTAATATGGCGTGATGATAGGAATTAGTTTTAATTAGCTCAGTAATGCTGAAAATCACTTGACTAGCTGAGAGACTATCAGATTTTAAATAATACGTTTTCTCTGTAGAGTTAATTTGTTGTTTTGATAAATTAAAGCCACGAATTATAAGTTAACTCAGAATAAAGCTGTGATTGTTAGGAGTAAATTAATTGTAAACCTCTGTTACAGTGGACCCTGATAAGTCAATATCTCCCCATAAAATATCGTGCATATTAAAGAGGTAAAGATCGTATACTGTGTGATTTATAGAGATAAGTCATACAGACTGTAGAAATGCATACGACATAGAATTTATATACATGGGCCTAATTGATGTGTGGTTCTACTCTGAGCTATAAATTCAAATATCGGTTAAGTTGAAATAACATCACGTAAACACAACGCGTAGATAAACAATAATATATTATCCACACAACCTACACAGAATAAGCCAAAGTAGGATTTTGAGTACATACAACAAATACTATTAATATTGTGTGGGATGTTTACGTAATTTACGATATTTACAATTCGAGACGCTGGAGTAATTAACTCCTGTATTTTTTTGTGTTCTGTTTGAGGAAATAAACCTTGTTTACAGTGAGGATAATATAAAACCCATACATACAAAATTAAGACCTGTTGACTGTTAAATAAAATGGTGCATATAGTTACCACTCGATTTTAAATGGCTAATTAAAATATAAATTAGCTATCTGATACGCAACTCAAAATTGAAATTTATCGAAAGTGGGGACATTTAGGACCAAATATATTTTCTAGTTTCATAAATTAGTCGGGAGGCCAATTTGACATGATCAAATTATGGAGATGAGTGGCCCGGACTCTGTCATGCGGGTAATCTATCTGGGACCCTACACCTTTATAAAACGTTTAGCAGCAAATTCTAAAATTTAAAATGTCGTGATATTCTTAGGCGCTTATTTTTGGACACACCCTATAACAGACCTCGCTCGCTTCAGTGTGAACTAGAGGATCTGCTTGTTACGAACGGAATGAGGATGGCGAACACTGAAGTTCATTTTATGGGGTAATTTTTATTTATCTCCGTACGATAAAAAAAACCCTGTTGATATAAAATTGGAGGTGTGAGAGCTCTCTCCGCCACTTCTGACATCAATACCCATTAAAGTACAACAGAGCGAAGTGTAATCCTTTTAATTTATTGAGTGACGTATCGCGCCAGGATTTGGTCGGCGATATACCGCGATGAAAATAATTAAAATCGATTAATGATACGCGACTGGATTAAATGTTTGTCTTCCTTTATGTAGACTCGCATCAAAAGCGTATAGGATTAAAACGTGCACTATAATTATTTGCAACCTTGAGAACCCGAAATCTCACTTATGCCCCTGTGACCCACAGGTTCGCATCGGCTCTCTGTTTCGCCTTGGTCGCGACCTTGTGGCTGGGAGCCGAAACTTCTTCTTTGCAGGAGTCGACGCTGGCTTCCACCCTGGAGTGTCACAGGCGAATGTACGCCTACAAGGTGACCAAGACGGACAGCGCCGGGCGAGTCTGCTGGGACGTCATCAACGTCATGTCTTGCTGGGGGCGATGTGACTCCAACGAGGTCAGTGTCGCTCAGGGTTTGGTAAGGGACTCTGCCCCTCGGCGTGTGCAAAATGACAGGGCGATGTTGGACACTCCTGGCAAGTGCTCAGGGGATTGGCTCTGTCAATGGCTGTCATCACTGAAGCCTTTCGTAGTTACTATGGAAACTTGAGGATAATATTAAAATATATATTTTTTTGAAATATATTGTGAACTGGATTAATCCCACTCAGGAAAGGAGCGGTTGGCGGTATTTTGTGAACACGGTGATGAACGAATGTCATTAATTTGTTGGCTATCTGACAGTAAAACAATTTTTTTTTAAAAAATTAAAACACGTCTGTAACTTTTTTTTTACCAAATATTGTAGGATTCGATGATTTGGAATTTTTAATCGGAACGAAACACTCTGGTATGTGTGTTTTTTTTGGTGTAATTCCTGAAATAATTCTTCTCCCAGCTAATGAACTTATGCAAAAACTTTTATTAAAATGGTAATTACACCTCAGCTGTTTTGTGCGTGATACATTTTATGTGTAAGTGTCTCCATTTCTCGCATATAATGGAAATTTAAAATAGATTGGAAATTTTTATTTACTTCAGTTTTCTGTGAGTGAAGACTACAAATGAAGTGCCATTTTTTAAAAAAAAAAATTGTAATGGTAAAACAAACGCATTGACTTTTGCTAATTATGGGTTTTTTCCACGGAAACATCCAAACATTTCCATTTATCGTCTTCTGCTTTATTTATTGACTAAGCCGTACCAATTTAATGATCACGTATCGGTAATAATTTTTCTGTCATTCTCTCTAGGAAAATTATTATCCCAGTAAGCTCTACTGAAATATGTAATAAATATACAGAGCATAATATTTCATAATTCTACATATCCCTGTATTATATGTGGCAGTTCATGATCACTTCTCATTGTTTGCTATCTTACTCCTTAAACAATTTTATATTATTATTATTATTTAGTGTTCTGTCTGGTGACAGGTCCATATGAACAGGATCCTTCCATCCTTTTCTCGGACTGGGACCTGTTCATATACGTTCTTGGCAGATGATCCAGAAGTGGTTTGCCATTGCCTTCTTCTGTGTGTGAATGGAGTAATTGTTGGGATGCCACGGAGGAAAACTCCGTGTTGCCTAGACCACGGCCTTGCCCAACACAAGTTATAAATTCTGGCACCGCCGGGAATCGAACCCGAGACCCCCCAGGATTACAAGGCCAGCGTTCTAACCGCTAGACCACAATAACAATAGGGCAGATTATATGTTTATTAAATTTTATTTGCTTGAGAAATAGATTAGTTTGGTCACTTTTTGATTGTTGGATTCATGGGATATCTGCAGTTGAGTAGCAGGGATTGTGGATTGTTTCAGAAGAAGCACGCATCGCATTTGTTTGAAAGTAATTATTTTTTGAAACAATAGAATCACGCAGGCGTTGACACAGAAGAATGACCTTGAGACGACAATCGAGTTGTTCCTGACTAATATAAATCAATGTAAAATTCAAAATGATGTTCTGGAAATGACAGAAAGCAGATTACGTACTGACTGTCAGCTAATTCAGTCATAAAATTGAAGAGTTTCAGGTCCTCACGGCGGGAAATATAAAATTGACTGTGTTCTGCGATGTTGCGCTGTTTTTTTCCTGTAGAAATTTGACGACGTTTCAGAGGTTCTTTCTGCCTTATTGCTCTGATGTTAAAGGCAGTAAGCATCTCTGAAACGTCCTTAAACAGCTGCCAGACTGTATGGAAGAACATATAATCAAGATTAATTAAAATCTTGTCGTGTTTTTATGGTTTTTGTTACATTTAGTTACGAATTCGTCCAAAAGGTGGTTTAATGTCTATCAGGGTTTTTTTATACATTATATTTTAGCAGCCGCTGGAAAATCGAAATGGTTGTGACACTATTTTCTCTGCATAAAGGGAAAATATATGGCGATAAATCGTCCCTTACTCTGTATTTAGTGGCGGACAACGTAGTTTAACGTTTGTAACATCACGGATTCCACCAGTGCTAAGCCATTTTAACCCCTAATGCAGTTCATCATTTATAACTACGTAATGGAGAAAGGTGGAGGAATAATTCGCCGTATTTGTCGCAGTTACTCTTTTGTGGTGCATGTTGTCTATCAAACAAGAACATCCCAAAACACTCAGATGTAAAAGGGGTATAACTCGCATTTTAAAATTATTTTTAATTTCTCTCCAGGGCTGCTATAAACAGCAAACATTTTTAAAATATATTTACTCGTACGCCGTAACCAATTACTTCAGTTGAATATTTAACAGTCCTGCTTTGAGTTTTGGAGGTTATAGGTTCGTTTCTTGGTCAGGATCCCGATAATTCTGACTGAAGTCTTACGTTGAATTCCTCATTCACTCCAGGGATCTTCTGAGATGATAAACTCAACATAGTAGAGTTTTTATTGGCAAGCTTGTAGTCGCACTGTTGTTCAGGGAAATTCCTGCCTTTTATAAATCCCTAGGGTTTATGCCCTGATTACAGTATCCTCAGTTGATACATATTATTAGCCAGCTGAATCCACACTCTTACAGAATAGTTCTTCACTACGTATTTTAATATTATCCTCCCTGATGATGGACGTAATAAGCAACTCTTCTGGGAATTTATACCAGACTGCATGGCATAGTATCCCAGAAAACAGTTATGTTTTAACATGATACATGTTATTTCATTTATCTATATACATTTTATATTTTTGAACTACGTAATAGTGGTCATTGATAAAATGAATTGGGTATTATGTGTGAAACGATAGTAGTGACATCTATTGAAAATAAATCCAATGGTAACTACCCCGTGTGATTTAACACATAGATTTAGAAATTTGCTTAAATGTAACAGGGAAATTTTATTCAGAAATATTATAATATAAAAATGTGTATGTGTGACATTTACGAGAAATGAAATAATTCACCTCGAGTTTGACCAAAGTTACATACAATAAACAGGCCGTGTTTAGAGGAGGCCACGGAAATGTAAATAGTATATTTCTCACGCTCATGATTGATTGACGGAATCAAAATACGTATTTGCGAAGGAATTTTTGTTTTGATTAATTCTTCTATTGATTATTTTAAATATTTTCGATTTAAACATGCAAGGTTGGACACACTGCCTCTGATTTTTTAATTAATTAGGGGATTGAAAGTATCTGGTGGTTGATAATGTGAACGGATTTTTACGATCGTGAACTGAGTCACCCACAAATTAATGAATTAAATATTATCTGCACTTGATTACAAAGTTACATAGCCTAGAGTTATTATTGTATCAGAGTTTTACTAATAAGTGTTTTAAAACTGCAAAAATACGTTTCTTAAAATAATATATTTTTTTTTAATTTATGAATATATTTCACGGTTGACGACATACATCTTTGGTACGTTTAAGTTCTGTGACACTACAGCTATGGCGTATATAAAAAAATAATAAAACTTCCCACGTGTTGGTGGGAATGACACACAATAAACAGCTTTAATGTAATGAAAATTTTAAATGCTTGTAGAGAGAAAACGCGAGTGGCATTGAATATCACTAAGCAGGATTTATCTCTTGTAGAAATTCCTCGTATTGTGTGGATTTATTTACTGTTTGTGGAGCTGAAGATAGGTCATAGAAATGAAACTTTCCAAGCATGAAATATAATAACATATATTGGGATTAAACCTCTCCATGTCACGCACGAGATATATCGCCCAGAAGCACTGACATGTTTTCTGGTTTTATTTTCTGTTTGATATCAGTAAAAGAATAGTCATGAGTAATTTTTTTTAAAAAATTAAAGCTTAGGTCTTGTGCATTTCAAAAATAAAAATTGACATTGACACTTTTATTAGTCTGTTGTTTTCAGTTTGAGTTGTTGGACGTGACTCCCCTGATCATACGTCCACTTCTGAACATATTAACATTTATTGTAACATTTCTACACTATCTTCTTTCATTTAAATTATAGTGCTATCTCTCATCTTTGCTACACCATAATTTATAATTTATTCGTCGTAATATTTCATCACTGATCTTTTCCATTTCCCCTTATACGTACAAGTACAATCCAACATTTTGTATTTCATCACATTCTTTATTTGTTATTAGATTTCAAATTACAATTTAGGACTCATTACTTTTATGTGAATGGTTACATTGCTGTAGGGATTTTTGGTTCACACGTTGGCGTGTCGATTGTGACCTTGTGAGTTGTGTCTTGTACGTGGCTACCAACGTTTCGGAAGAATATATTGCTTCCATCTTCAGGTCGAAGTATCTTTCTCCGGAAGTTTATAACCACGTACAAGACTGCCATCAGACCAGAGTCATCAAATTGTTGTTGAATCTAAGACAAGTGGAACTCAGATTACACAGATGCTGTGTTTCTGTTGCAGATATCAGACTGGAGGTTCCCGTATAAGCGCTCCTTCCACCCCGTGTGCTTACACGACACTCGAGCTGTAAGTTCAGCGACGCTACAAAACTGCGAGGAGGGTGTCGAACCCGGTACTGAGGTTTATGAATACCTCGAAGCATTGACATGTCGCTGTATGGTTTGCAAGTCTTCAGAAGCAAGTTGCGAGGGACTTCGCTACAGGGGACAAAGAAGTGGGCCCTTCCTTGTGGGAGGTCGGTAAAACAGCACTCTACTAGATGCGACTAAATGCCGAAGACGTTCGTGAAAGTTTCGGGTGAGAGGAAAAAGAATTTTAACGAAGGACAAAATCAAAATTTTATTTATTTCCTGAAAATGTAAATTGTTTAATTAATAATTATGTCATTACTCATATGTAACTTCTTTCTTTAATTATTCAGTAAATTTATTGAATTTAAATTATAATGTAAAGACAATATATTGCTTCAATTTGTATGCTATTTGTCATTTTTTATCCCTTAAAAATGTCACTAACCCTTTAATAACTAGTGGTAATTATTTGTACCGGATGCCTTTTAAAGTTAAGTAACTCTGTGTTTTACCCACAGAGGGCATTTTTTGTGTTTCATATAATTCTCACGATAAACAGTGATTATTTATTTAAGCAGCGTTGACTAATTCACTTTTGTAATTGTTAATTATTTTTCTTTTAGTTAAGAACTGATTTTTTAAATATTATTTAAATAAGCGTCGAATTCGAGAATGATTAACTCCTCATTCCGTTATACAGCTTGGATTCACAGATTGCTTTAATCAGCATCTTCGCACCGACGTGTAAAAAGAGATCTCTAACTAAGAATACGTTTTGATATAAGATCTGAACAAAATTAATTTACCATTTTCATCATATGAGATTTAAGGTTCTTCAACTCTGAAGATGGATGCAGCATGTTCTTCCGAATCGTTGGTATCTACCTACGATTTTCCCCCTCGATAAAAGTAGGGTCATACATGGCCCCACTGTTAAGTAGGTTTAAAATATTTCACTATAAGTGTTTCGATGATTTTGGAATAATCTTGATTAACTTCCGATTTATAATACGTTTTTAAATGTACCACCAAAAACATTATTGTTATGTTATCTTATATTATATTTAATCAGAAGTCTAAGTTGTTGAGAAAGATTTCTGCTAAGAAATATCTTTTAAAATTCTAGCTTTGTGTTTGTTGCATCGATATTAATTAAAATATGGCTCTCGTAACTAGGTTCTGTTATTATAAGCGTCTCTTCCGGGTAGCTTTCAACAATTCTGTTCTGTCTCGACCCAGTCAAGGCTTTGTAGTCCCTTCATACCAGTTATTGTCAGTATCATGTTATTTTAGTATTTATAATTTCCAATTTACCACCTCACACCTCAGTGGCGTAGCTTGTTAAGCCAAACAAAGAGTTGAAACTTTACCAAATTAATTTCATTATATAAAATATTTGCATATTTATGACGATAAATATGCCTGGTGTCTGTACTCGTTTTCCGAATTAACTGAACAGAGCCCTGAAGTAATTCATGTACCTCGTATCCGTTCGACCTCTATTTAAGTCTTAAATACGTGGTTCTTCTCTAATTAATAACAATATGGTTAGAATAATTTGTGTACAGGCCTACATAAATGTTTTATTTATGCTGAACGTAGCGTTAAATGTTTCAGATTGACAACTGGATACTAAGAACAATATTTAAACCTAAGAGTAATAACGTAGCAGAATTTTCGTAAAAGAATAGCATATTGAAATGTTTTAAAACTTTTACCCTTTACCAAATATCATTAGCATGAAGAATCAGGGAGGATTGGCGGGGTATACAGCATGGAGGGAGAGTTTAGAAATATGTAGAATCTATTGTTTAGAAATTCTCGAAAGAACAGATCACTCGGACGACAAAGAAGTAGATGGGAGGATAATATTAAAATGAATCCTAATGAAATATGGTCTGAGGTTATGGATTGGATTCATTATAGTTTAACTTAATCGTTTCTTTGTAAATTACGTGTCATGGCGATGGCCGTATATTATTAACACGCCCCACTATGAATTTTATATTTCTTATTATAATCTCTGGAAGGTATTTAATATAAATAAAAAATGTGAATGTATATAATTAATTCCGGAAATTTCTCTTAATTTATGTCTGTAAGCCTAAAAGTGAACTTTAATTATAAATTGACGTCGTTTGGAAGCTTGTAATATTATCATCAGTGTGACACCCATCAATTTATAGTTTAAAACTGTAGTATAAATCTAATAGGATGTTATTACATTGATTGACTAACCACTTAAGCCAAGTAACGTGATTTTGATGATGTTGTAAGTCCCCTATGTCTAGCAATCAAGAAATCCCCTGTGATCGATTACGATAGGATAAATTGATGTATTATAGCCCGTATAAATGTACTAAACACCCGGTCTTATGATGCGATTGCAGTTAAAATGTATGATAACATTAACATGCAAAGTTCACGAACAAAATGCATTACGTAAAGTTAATCCTTTCAAATCCAGTGGGAACTCTACGTACCATTTCTCACTGCAAGAAGCCATTATTTCCTTAATCTACATTAACTAATTATCTTTCTTTGCTGTACGGATTGGATCTTAAATATTATTTAGAAGGTTCTGACTTCAATGTGTTCTAAGAGAATTGTTTTATTAAAAATTAATTACTAGAAATCTATCAGTAATGCTACGATAATGAATTAAAGTAAATATAAAATATCAATTAAGCATAACAGGCCTAGTTAAGTCTAAAGGACGCTTACTGAAGTGAGATAAGGTACTTATGGAATGTCACTAAGTACCTTACTTGAAAGTGATGGAACTGTTGTATATATATACTGTTTACGATACATTTTATGGTAAATGTAGCAACACTCCGAATGTTAAACACCCAGCTTCTACAAGTATATGAGCTGTTAAAGACATGGTATTACAGATTAAACTGTTTTAATATACACCTAACTTGGAAGTATCGTAAAACTATGAGAGATAAATCAGTAAAGGTGTAATGGTATTCTTGGAAGCCGTCTTAAGATTTCTGTTTACTCAACGGCTTTAAGACATCAGTCTACGACTTAAACGAATAATTCTTCTACAATTTACAAAGGTCAAAAGTTGAGAAACTAGCGAACGCTCCACATACATTTCCTAACATTTTTATTTTAACGATGAAAGTTGAATTAAGAGAGGAATCAAAATAAGAATTATCTCTCGAATGGTCTGGGCAGACTGTAATCTGCCTCCTAAATTTTTTTTACAGAATTATTAAACGGTAGATTATGATCTGCATTCGAAATTTCTGTTTCAAAAATCTTTCATTTGGATCGAATCCTAAGCTCAGTTCGATCAAATATCAAACAAGAAAAGAACGCACTCTCCTCACAGTAACCGAACCTTCTCATCATTCTACGTCACATGTAGCGCTGCTGTAGTAAGCATAACATTCTCATAATCACGAATATTTCCGAAGTGACAGCCGATTTTTGACGATTGTAGGTAAGCGGTCCGGAAACAGATGGCGTGTTTACATTTTATGCAAGTGTGGTACGGACTTTTAGCTGTACATTGTTTGTAATATAATGACTTCTAATGTGTTTGACATTGTTTTAGTGTGATAACGTTTGAAATAATATGAGTTGGCGTGTGTTAACAGTGGTTAAATGTATAAAACAATTATAATATAGACAAAATTCAGTGTTTTAGAAGTGTCGGTCTTTGACTTCGTGGGACAAGTTTATTCATGCTGTTCTGAAACATGGACTGGCTTCAGATAAGGTACTGAATATGTTATGTAAAATAATCTCTTGTAATTAGTTCTGTCGTGAGGGAAAAATGTAGTTGTTTCAAATAGCCACGTTAGGTTGAAGTTCGTATAAACATAGCAATGTAATGTTGCAGTTAGGTTAATTAGTTTGAACGGGAAATTTAAGCAAATATTTACTTTATAAATAGACCTAAATATACGGGTACAAAGACGAGGTTCATAACACAGAAAACTTAACACGCGAGCAGTTTAAAGTTTTGTACTGAATGTGTAACGTTTAATGACTCATGTTTTGGCTGAAAGTTGAGTAACCATGATGTTGCCATATTACGCTGTGGTTACGCGTGAGAAATTCTAGTTAGTTTAAAAAATCACCGTTGTGGCAGGAGGAGTGGGGGCTGGATATTCCCCAGGCAACCTACATATCAAGGATATTTACCTATCCAGTGTAGCTATTTATGCAAAGTCCCCAAAAATATTTAGTTTCAACCAGAATTACAATATACAGACACATTTTAGTAAAACTAAAAAAAATACAATTTTATAAAAATCCCAAGTTGTTACGTGTATTTTTTTCTTAAAAACGATAATTATTTCGATATATCGCAGTCTGTTCTATACTCCTCAATGGCATGGCATAGGAACATAACTAGATTCGTGTAAATCATAGGTTATGTTGGAAAAATAAGCTCTGAAATTAAATTAGCCAGCTCATTTTTCTTATAGACTCTCAAGATCAAACTTCATTAAAATCCGTCGAATATTGTGTGAGATTAGACAAGCTGCAGGGAAAACAAAATGGCAGAGATATCGCCCACGTATGTTAACACAAAAGCGGCCCATAAAATGAACGAGTATAAACGAAATTCACTTATGGGCTCGATTTACAAATGGGCCATAAATGCATGATTTCACAACGTCATAAAACAAGTGGCTTCTGTCATAATACCGTCAATTTCAGAATGTACATGTTTCACTTACCGCCCCAGCTCTGGGAGCCTTAAAAATTGCATGGTCATGACGTTAACCAAAGTTAACCTCTTCGGTATTTTTCTCTTTTTTTTTGGGGGGGGGGATGTGTAGAGTTCTCTTTCAGAAGCTGATTTAATGAAAGACCCACAAAATCACACGGCGTCATAACCCAAAAAGATGATCTAATTATGCAAATCGGTTGTAGGAATCAGCGGTTTATACAAAACACGATATATATATATATTTTGAATTTTGTTTAAAGTTGGTCATACTTTGAATCATTTTCTTACCCTTGAGTTTTGAAGTTTAATGTATAACTTCAGATTTCGTGAATAAGTGGCGTTGGATGTTGAAGATTCTCGGCGTTTCTCCAAACATTACTGTTGCCATCTTCAGGGGGGAAATTACAAAATCATAGTGCCAGCTCATACAATCATGCAGAATTTAACACAGACCCCGTTTAGTAGTTTATGGGTTAAAGCATTCATTTGTGCAGATAAACTTCCTAGTTAGGCCTACCTGTTTTTTTTTTTAAACTTCTTGCGCGGAACATATCTAAAAAATCACCACGCGAAACTTAGTTATTGCAGTTTAACTCTTTTAAGTACGAAGCATGTACAAAGAATTCAGTCCGTACGTAAAAGAAAACACAATACCTAATCATTAGAGAGATTAACTGATTAATTATCTTCACGGAAATAATCGC